CTTGCATATCATTGCTCTTTTGTTGATTTTGATTGCTTCTATTGTCTTCATTTGTAAGTTGCTTTGGATAAAAGGTTGCCCGACTAAGTATTGATAGTTGTGTAAATAATGTCATACTAACAGCTGTCTAATTTTTGGTTGATTGTAATCTATTACATACCTTTCTATCAAAGTTATCTAACATTATCAAGCTGAATTTGTTCTGACTGAATTGGGTTCTTGTCATATTTTATTACCATTTTCTAAACTATAGCGAATAAACTGTGATAATGTGAGAAATGTTGAAGGTGTCTGAATAAATTTTGGTTCGACTGTATCTATTTGATAAATGAAGTTAACCAACTAACATTATACATACTCTTTTGGTTTCTGTACCCAATATTTAAAGAATTTACAAATGCAATAAAAATATTGGTATCGGTACTCGGTATCGGCAAGTACCAAAAATAAAAGTATCTGTATCGGGCGAGTACTGGAAAAAGTGGTATCGGTGCATCCCTGATTTAATACAACAGTTCAATAAACAAGTACTGCCTGATTTTGCTCTATTTCTTTAGCGAAAACAGTTCCAAATATAATAACAGCTCAGCCACTTCGCATCTCTAAAAGCAAACACAGCGGTGTTTCATTCATGAATGAAAGTGCGTTTTTGAACGAATCTAGTGAGTCAGTGATTCATGATTACCCATTCATAAAGACAGTCTCTTGCTTCATTCCTGCATGAATCAGCCGTTCATACGAATCAATTGAATGAATGATTCAGTAATAAAAATCAGTGACTTGCCGCCACCTGCTGGCGGTTTCGGTTTCATTTTTAGTTATAATTTCAGTTATTTAAATCATTTAATATTTCTGTATTCAAAATTTTATATTTAAAACATTAATCTCAACATGAATTTATGAATTTAATTGCACTCATGGCACCTCTGAGCCTCATTAAACGTCTGAAAATGTACCTACAAGCCACTTTTGTGTTCTTCTGTGCACCCTCTGTAGTACAAATTAATTTTTTATTAATACTAATTTCATATGATTGGTAACTTATTTGTCTTATTCTACTTATTATTATATTTTTTTAAATAGAAATTTTAAAAAGCTTATAAACATACATTTTTGAATTTGACAGATGAAAATGATGCCATTGCAAAGGTAA